GTAAAAAAGTAATAAGAACCAAAGTTATACAGTATCTGCTTTTAAAAAAAATTACAACCCGCTCGAGACCAGGACACATGTAGAAATATCAGTATGTATTATTTATTCGAAATAAACGTATTTAGCCCGTGGTGAAATGAGAATAAATGACATGCTTTGGATCCGTATGTACACGTACTTGCCCCCTAGTCTCTCCACTGCTGGATGAGGCCTCCCTTGCTCCGTGGGGGTCGTGGTGGGGAGGGGGGTGGGAGGCATTATCTGATCATACTTCACCACGCTGGTCAGTGCGGGGTGGATGGGGGGGGGATACAAAAACACATTTAAGAAGCGCCCCCCCCCCCCCCCTAGGAATGAATAGAAGCTATGGATGCTTCAGTGAACACGACCGAGCTTATTCGCACAATTGCATGCTCCGCAGCTAAACTAAAGCCGTAAATGAACACCATACATCGAGGTGGGTGAAGGTGCTGCAGCCAACGCATTTTGATTCTCAACCAGAAGGCTGACAGTTCAATTCCCATTCAGGAGTCAATTCGGACCACCATCCATCCGAAGATGACAAAGATGAATGAGTGCACGGGAGGTCGACAGTGGTTTTATTTGTTATGTTTAATGACTGGGACCTGCCATCGGAATGTTGAATTCTCACTGCTTCGTCAGGGCCACGGAATGCACAATCGGTGTATTCACCCAAATGTGCTTATTCATCTGAGGCCAGAACATTATGTTTTATAGTTCATAGATTCGCATTCATAATAGAATTCACTCTCATGCTGCAGAAAACGAATGCCTACTTTGTCTTCAGTGCCCATCGTGAAACCCCATTAAAAAAAAAATGAACAGCACCAGGAATCTTCGGGCGGTAGTTTGTCAAACCACGGTTGGCCAGTACGATGCAAATTGACATCTTGATACCATTTTAAATTTTAGTTTCAGTATCCTAAACTGCCAGAACTGCCAGAAATTGAAAATGGCGAATTGCAAATTTCCTGCATGGCCCACCATACAAGTTAATTAAATGATGGTGACAGCACGTATATCGCAGTGTCCAAAGGCTCAGGGCTGTTTTGAATTGTGCCAATGGAAATCCATCGAAAGTTAATATGAATCTGACATTTCTGTGCCTTAACCCCGCTTGCAAATATTCTCATTAGCTAAAGCGGGCTTTCACTTCCCTCTGTTGTGGACAGCTCTTTGCGGGGTATTATTATTTTATTTAGAATGTGTTTCACTCGGAATGATTCATTATACAAGCACAGCGTCCGATTTTTTTGGGAGGGGGGGGGGGGTGTCATGTGGGAGAACACACAGCCCTGGCGAGAAGGCGTTCTTCTGTTTCTGAATATCACACCACGGCTGCGCTTTCGCACCAACGTGGAATTCCATCGACACTTGGCAGCCTCTGGAAGGGCTTCTCCCTTTGCTCTCCCGGCAGAGTTTCCAGTCTTTGCTGTCACCAACGAAGCCACTTGGTTTTCTTTGCGATAAAACTGTTTATTTATTTACTTCTCAAAGTCACACGGAGACTAAAAGCGCTTTCAAAAGATAAATTGGCCAAGAAGGTCGGACAGTGGCGGGGAGGTGGGAGGAGGGAGGGCTGGGTGTGTGAATAAAATGCATTACGGTTCGAGAATTACACCGAGGATAAACAAATATGAAGCCAGACTAATAATGCGGCCGTGCGAATTATTGTGACCCCAGTGTGAATGCCAGCGAGCGTTTGGCACGACGTCGTAAATTTGTCAACAAATAGCTGAATAGTTTATCGACAGGACGCGGAAACTGGAAATGAGTTGCTGCTGCTTCTGCGTTAGTGTTTTTTTGAATGATCGGCAACTTGATGGGCAGTTCTAAATTAAGGAACTGAGCTTCAGTCACGATTTGAATTTGCGAGAAGCTGGACCAAGACGTACGATTATGTTTTGACCTGAATCTTGTCGCCTCTTGACAGATGTTGCTGTCAAAGTTGTCACCGCATTTGGTGGTGTTGGAGGGAGGGATATGTGACAGTTTTTTTTATTGCATGTAAAACGATATATATAATAAAAACACGTTAAGTTAATACAATTGTAGAGGGAAATTAATACAGTGACACATAAATTACGAGCATGGCCATTAAAGCCTGTCTGTCTCAATACATTTTATCACAAAGCCTTGCTTTGGGGGGGGGGGCTTTGTGGGGGGCTCTGGGGGGGGGGGGCTTGGGGGGGGAAATATTTTTGATTTCACAAAAAAAATCTGTTTCAGGGAAAGGAAGATTGTGTGGATAAAAACTTAAGACATCACACGCAAGCGACCTATTACAGTGCACATTAAACATTCATTCACACAGTTATGCCCTTACTGCAATGTGGATGCAAATTCAATATTGATATGGATGAGGATGAACAAATATTCGTATGTTGTAAGAGAGTTTGCCATTTTGCTTCACGCATGAGAACGCTCGCCATAGGGAACTTCTGGGGACAGGGAAAAGGCAGTCGATGTTTAAACTTGCAGCCTTGTTGTTGTGGAGTACGTAAGCGAATAAACGCCACGCATCCATTCCGTCCAAATGCTTGCTTTTAAGCTCTACTTTTGTTCTTATGGCAACCCACAATGTGCACACTTAGGGCTTCTATTTGTCACACTGCTATCACGGAGCGATAGGGGAATAAGCGAAATGTTGAAAGAAGATGGGTTTTTTTTTTTTTAGCAAATCAAAGTGCACGCACTCATCGTTCTTCTGCGACCATCCTTCTGTTGTGTTCGGCTTCCTCCCTCCTCCTCCTCGGTGTTGATTGGCACGCGGTCTGCCAGCCTCGACAATTAGCGCTCCCCGCGGCTCTTTGTTCACAACACCTTTTCATTTGCCTGCCGTATATATATATATATTTTTTTGGTGGAGGCGGGCGGGCGGGCGGGCGGCGGGGTTATCGTGACATTGCCAAATCAGCTTTCGGAGGCACTGGCAAAACATTTTCAAAAGAAGCAGCTGCTTCACCGAAGACACACACGGAACGAGACTAACCCGAACAATGGATGCACGTGCAAACCCGACCACGTTGCAGACCCACCGCCAAATCAATAAATTAAAAAGTGCCCGGAGCAAAAAAAATCCAGCGCTGCACACAACCGCAGAACTGATGATTATTTAGCTAAAATGTTCTAGATTGAAAACTAATTTCATGAGAACTGTTGCGTTTAGTTAATCTGCCTCCACCGCCCCCGCCCCGCACCTCCGATTAGCACGGCTGGATACGTACGGTGCGAAAGAATTCAACGTTCAGGGACACCTCGTGCGCATTGGGTGAGCGGAGAGCTGTTGGGGTTTGAGGAAAAGGTTGTGTGCACGTACGCCGACTATGTTTAACTTCCTTCGCACCGTGCGTAGCCAACCGTGCTAATCGGAGGTGCCCATCGAGGAGAACGCCTCTTATCTCTCCGGCGATGTGGGGAACCACAGTATCGCGGATGCTGCAGCGCTATCCGAGATTTCTGCTCACGCCTTCGGGGCCATCCATAAATGACGTCACGCGATTTTAGGCGATTTTTGACCCCCCCCCCCATCGTCACAATGCGTCACAAAAAGTCAGACTCCCCCCCCCCCCATCAAATATGACGTCACAAAGCTCTGCCCTCCCCCCCCCATAAAAAAATCAAACATGCTTCAAATCGCTTTAAACTATTGTCATTGTAGTGCGTATTTAATGTGGCGCTGCACTCTGATGTTGTAGGAGAAAAAATATTAAAAAGTCTATTTAATTAAGTAGAACGTGTTGTCTATATTTATTTAAAGTTGCGCATTTTGATGTGACGTCACATTTCTCAAACACCCCCCCCCCCTCGTCACACATCGTCACAAATGACTGACCCCCCTCCCCCCACCACCTCGGTGCGTGACGTCATTTATGGACGGCCCCTTATCTGCGGGGTAGATTGTCCGCGGGCTCTAGGGTCACGGGTAGGAAGAAGCCCTTCTGGTGTGTGCACGGCGAAGTTTTTTTGGCTGCGCGACTCCCGTGGACAGTGACCAGGATCTGGCACTCGGCTTTCAGGAGCCGATTCCAGGGTTTCTTTCCGTACGCGCAGGTAATGCCCGTCGAGTTCAGAGGCGGCATCACGAGGCGTTCGCAAGCATCTTGTTGCAAATGCGATCGACCCGGAACATCGGTTTGGCAAGCAGTGAAGTTATAACCCGAGCGAGAGGAACACAAGTGGCCACTGCCGGCGAGGTGATTACATTTTAAGCCAAGTAAAAGTGTTAACTATGAATATGTGGATTTTTTTTTTAAAGTGCATTTCGTGCAGAGAAATGGGAAAATACAAATGATGGGTGCATTACCTCGTGTGCTTATTAAAAACATTATTTCAACATTTTATAAATGTATGAGGCAATTCACGCTTGAGAATGCTCGCCATAGCATGGGTGTATGTCCGAGTGCATATGCTGTATCTAAATGAGTACACACGTCTCTTTGTCGCTGCCCCACAAATCTGTCTGGCTGCCTGATGATGCTGGTTGTAATTACTGGCGAAAGGTCACGGTAGTCAGATTGTAAACACACCGGTGTGCTGCACGAGTAACGAATAGGCACGTTCTGCTTACGTGACAAACCTCTTACTAATTGGCTGTGTCGGGTATTGGCGGGCTTAACGACACATTTATATTTACGAGATCTAAACCCCCCTAAAAACAAACCGATATTATAGATGATGTCTGCCGCGAGAGCTCCGAGCTAGTAAAATGCACCTCGTTGTGATCGCGAACTTGCCGTTCGATTTTGTTCGTGACCGAGCAAAGGTGAGAAATCTGCTCACACGTGAAATGTCGCACGACGTCGAGCCGAGCTTCGGTGGCTTAGCACGAGGGGTCGAGTAGTGCCACTTTGACAGCGGCTCACAGGCCGCGGGAGAAACAGCAGCATCAGCAGCAGCAGCAGCCGCCTCCATGTGAAGATGCCGGGAGCAGCCAGGTATTGTTGGCCCTTATCAGTTTTTTTTCCCCCACACAGTGGTTGCAAATTAAGCATTTATTTAGAAACCATTTAACAGACATAAAAAGCACTTATTACACGTACTTCGACCCCAAAATAAAAATGTCACGCTGTATGTTGTTTTTTCAAGATGACAAAATGCGTACAACTTTCCGAAGATAAAATGCCGAATGCTGATTTTGCTTCTGCCGTAATCAAACTGTTACTGTCCAGAGGGCGAAACACCGTGTTCAACAAAAAAGAATTCAAATCGAATTGTTTACAGATTCGGAAATAAATTACAACTCATCGCATTAGAGTTATCACAGTGACCCACGCCAAACAACAGTTACCGCTACTGATACATTTGGACGTTACGTAGCTCGTGATAGATTACACAACAACTCGTGAAGACACGTGACCGATTAATTTTCTCTTGCTGTTATTCGTGAGTTACTTCAGTCTCAACTATTGCACTTTTTTTTTCAAGAGTAGCAGACGCACATTCGCACGGATTTGACGTTTTTTGTCTTTCCACACTCTTCCGTTCCCAATGGGGGTGCGAGTCTGTACCGCACGCAGAATGTCCTTCGCTTAGGCTGGCGTCCACTCCTTGACCTGCAACTGCCAGAGTCTCCGGCTCCAGGTGCCCGACACTCAACCATCAAAACAAACGACTTCTCAAGGCAGCTGTATAACATGGCAACACGCTCCATCTTTGGAGAACTACTCCCGAGTTTTTTTGGAGGAGAGGAACGCCTGCTCGCACGCACGATGCCCCAACCACCGCGCACATTCTTTCCAAACAAGGCCATTGTTATTCTCGGGATGGTTGTATTTTCACGATCACAAGCAGTGAATATTCTTAAACGGGGAGGAGGCCAATGGGGAGGTGGAAGTTTACCCTCGTCCCTCACCGGGGCCACGCTAGACGACAAACTCAATTGCTCCCCGGGCGGGCAGACAGAAAAATCGCTCGCGGCGGTCTCGGGAAGTTAGCGGCGGTCACGGCAGTCGCCGGCGGCATGCGGCCCGCGACGCCGGGCGCTCCCGGCGCAAGTGGCGACAGCGGCGCTCGTGGCGCCGTCCACGGCCGGGTTCACATCACCGCGCAGCTCTTGGCGCGCTCCCTGCGCGGGTGCCGCGCCGCCCGCTGCCCCTCGGCGGAGGAGGCGGCGGAGGAGGAGGAGGCGACGGCGGAGGAGGCGGCGGAGGCGGCGGAGGCGGCGGCGGCGGCGGCGGCGGACGGCGACGAGGGGGGCGTGCGGGTGGCCGACGCGGTCTCGCGCCGCGAGTGGCTGCGCCGGACGAGGTAGCGCGGCAGGCGGCCGAGCGCCGCCAGGGTGGCCATGTGGAAGACGTCGCGCACGCTGTCCTCCGACAGCTTCGCCGAGCACTCCACGTAGGCGGCCGCGCCGAGCTGCCGCGCCACGGCGGCGCCCTGCGCCGGCCGCGAGAACGAGCGCGCGGGACGTCGTTAGCCGGCACCATCGGTTCGAACGGCGGAATTCATTTGGGCGGCGTTAGCAGCCACGGTTCAGCGTGTTTCCGGTGCTGAAACGGGCCGTTAGGTGGCGTTCGCCAGCATCCGACGGTCCTGAGCCGTCGGTGGGAATTCCACCTTTCTGTGGCAGGGGCAAGTAATTCCGTAGAAAAATAAACTACGGCCTTCTCGCAAAGTAACGCTCATTTTGTCATCTCCGGAAAGATGATGAGCTGAGTCATCCCCGGCGGAGATTTGTTTTCACAGACTTCTGACAATCTGGCACTCTACCATCATTCTACCCAGACAGAAAAATTAGCTCAAGTGGTAAGCCTACAGATATTCAATGCTTACGCTTACAGTATGTTATGCCCAGTAATATAAAGGGTGCTCACTTACTGTAGATGGGAATATATTTCAGTCTACCTGACACATGAATACAAAGAGACCTACTAGATCCACAATCTCATTTTTATCCGGGCCACAATATAGCTGTAAGGATCCATGAGATTAATTTACCACAGCTCAGAAACTCAAATGAGCTCAACTAAGATGTTATTCTTAAATATAACAGACAATGACATTGTCTCCGAAATCAATAACAATAGATCTATAACGACACGCCGTGTCTGCTAGCGATGATGGCAGACGGCGTGTTAGATTGCGTCAGATGTGCGAGTCCGCAAAAAACACATCGAGCACGTTCATTACGGTTAGCCGAAAATTTCCCGAGGTATTGCAAAAAACAGTGTTGTTTTATAAATATGTTTAAAACGAAAACGCCAAACCTCCCAGTACACATTTCTTGAGGATGCGTGCCCCAGCTGTTTCGTAGAGCCGCTTATTACTCCCGCGGGACGTTTTGCCGTTTCTCCACAAAAAACCACGGGATTGTTATTCACAATGTATCCCGCTCAGAATATTTCAGAATCAGAATATTTGTTCACACTGGAGGAATCCGATTAGCTATGAAGCTCTTTTCCACAGACGTCCAGCCGGGGCAGGTAAGAACGTTACAACAACAAACGGTACAAAAACACGATATGGAATGCAGAGTAGAAGAAAGGTTAAACAATGCACCCAAACACAAACAAATACAACACTAAATCATCCCCCATCCTACCGGACAAAGCACACTGAGGTATTAACTTTTTTTTTCACAAGCGACCTGACCACAAATGATAGCTCAACAAAAGTGGCTTATCATTTTGACATTAATAGAAGAAACAAAAAAGTCTAAAGGCTTGTTTCTGCTGGACAGCGTACTAAGCTGCGTGACACCTTGGGATACCACCTGTCCTGCTTTTCCCAGGGACGTCATCGTTTTGAGGAGTGACATCAGTAAGTCTGCCCGGGACAGTAGTGTTGTTTTTGTTGTCAGCTGCGTAACATTAATGGGGAATGCACCACTCAAGACGATGCATTTACATGGCGTTCTCCCATCCTCTCCGATTCTGAAATATTGTTCTCTCCGTGATATGTTGCGAAGTTTTTTTGTTTACTTACACGGCAGTTGTGGCAATGTGTGACACCGCTGTAACAATCGAATGTTCTATTCAATCCTCGACCGATCGGGTTTGCTATTCAACCCCGTTTTATTTTTGTTAATACAAACGACTCCAACATTAAACTATCGAGTTGACCGGTGTTGCCTGCTAAAGAGACGGCGCTCTCACAGCTCTACGATTCCGCCTGAATTTTAATGCTCTTTTTTAATGGTTATATTTTAGCCTCTGCGTTTTCATCTCAGATGTGTACTCTTCTGGAAAATTAGTCTTTTATAATGGGAAAAAAAAACAACAGTCGGTTTTTAATTGGTGTTGGAGATGGTTTGGGAGCCCTGACCGCCCAGAGCCCGTTCGCAAATTCCGTGCATTCTGTGGAGCGTCACTAATGACCGTGCCTGTGGGGGGTCAAGAACCACTAATTCTTTTCTCTCGTTTAAAAAAAAAATTCCCAATTTGAAGTTAACCAAAATGAAAGAACGCAATTTCTAACCTCACGTGACCCGACTTCCAGCCTCTGCCACCCAATGCATATTCCTCTCTTGAGCCTCGTGAAAGATGCATGCCGCATTGCCCACAAGCAAGGCGACGATGCGACCGCGTGGATACGCCCCGGGTGATGATAAACGGGCATTGGGTTTGTCTGGGTTATTTTCACGTTTGTGTCGGCGCTTTCGCGTGACATTTTCATTCGCACGCGCAATTATTTACCAGGCATTTACATACCCAAACAAGTGCTTCGCCGAGCAAACATCATTCCCATGCAAACATGTAAACAATGGCGCAAAAATGTTGTAAAGCGAAGAATAAATTATTCACGCGGCGTTTCCTGCTTAACGCACCGACAAGCATGCGGAAACAATGCATACAGTCTCCAGAATTTGTCAAAGAATCAAAACAAACAAGCAAATTTTACTCACTGGCCGTGAAATGTTAAATAGTTTAGATATCTCAATAGTCGGCGAAAAATTTCCGCAGCTGAGCGAGGGCTCATTGCAAGCACGCCTGGAACCCCATTGTCTCAGACTCCGAGCAGGCACATTCGTGCATGATGAAGCTGAGTTAATACTGAAGGGACATTTGCGGTTACGTGACCACACGGCATTTGTGAGAATAATTGAGCAACGTGTGGTAGTAAAACAGAGGAATATTACACGAGACTGGCCGTACACATTTCCCAAACCAACTCCCTCGTAATAATTATAATGGACAGCACCCTTGGTCAAACCTCTGCTGGACAACGGCCTCCCAGACGTCGTATAGATCACGGGGGTTTGGCTTGATCATGCTTCGCCGCACCGTAGAGGGTCTCTGACGGGGTCACGCACACGCGACCCCGCCCAGATGTCACTCGCTGCCGACGTTCGCCCCGTGACTGGAAAACGAACTCAGGTCGCCGGATTTATAGCGCGGCGCTCGATAACCACAGGCGTCACGAGCGTGACGAGTTTCAACTTTGCTTCATATAACCCGGCGGTAACTCAGCAGATGAGGTATGGTCTCACCCGCAAGAAGAGTGGCTTGGGTTTTTTAAAAAAAAAGCTCGCAGAGAGGATGGTTTTGTGGAGGTTGAGGCAGTCTGAGCGTGGTTCGATGGAGCTGCTGTTACCTGCTCCTGCGTAACAGGGATGCACCGCTGCTTGGACAGCTCCAGCAAGGTCTGCAGGTCCGCGCGAAGGTCAGCCTTGCAGCCGATGAGCAGGACTTTGGTGCTTGCGCCAAACTCATGGCTCTCCACCCGCCACTGCACCAGCGCAACATGCCAGCAATCCCACGCACACACGCACACATGCACGCACACACGCACGCGCACACGCGTACACACGCACGCGCGCACACATGCACGCACGCACACGCGCACACACACGCACGCACACATGCACACACACACGCACGCACACACGCACACATGCACGCACACATGCACGCACACACATGCACGCACACATGCACGCACACACGCACACGAACAGACGAAGCACCTCCGATTAGCTCCATAGATTTGACGGAGCAAGTTTAAGCAAGCACTTTTCCGCGCCGGCGCGTTCGCACGAGGAAGTGGCGTGGCAAGCTGCATTCCCAGACACCTTTGTCTCCCCAGTGCTCACACTGGTCACACCACACTGGCACCTGTCTTACTTGTCTTAGACTGGAGCAACATTCCACATGGTCCAGAACAGGTTCAGATAGCAAATGTCACTGATATGCGTGGCCAGGAATTTAACCTAGGTTTGCTCAGATTGTAGGGCACTCCATGGATTATTACAACAAAGATAAATACAAAGATCCCCCGTGTAACCTTAACAGACTCTTGGTGCAAGTGCTGTTTAGCGAGCACCTATGAAGGCCGGCATGGCAGACGGGGGTGTGGGTAGCCAGCACCACGCCCGGCCGCCTTTGTCTCCCCAGTGGCGATGTTGACACACCACACCAGGTACTCATTTGAGGCTGAGTCGATCTAGGGGAGGCCCATGGCCGGTTCAGATAATCGTCACTGGCGTTTGCTACAACACCACCCCCAATACAAACACACACACACACACAGCCGAGAGACAAAGCTTCCCCTATAGCCACAATAGACTGATGTGGCGATTGCTGTTAGCGAGCACCTATGAAGGCCATGCACATAAACACACACGGATGCACCGGCACCCACAGAACTAGCATGCTGTGATACTTGTCGATGAAACTGAATATGGCATTGACATTTTTATTGCTATTTCATTTTATTCAAGCACCTGCTCTGCAGGGTCTGTATCAGTGTAACCATGCATCTCATCATGATCCGTTTTCATTAAGGCTTCGGAAAGGGAAATTTTAAACCAAACGTGGATCATCACACAACGCAAAATAAGCCAACTCGCTCTTGATTAAGCACCGTCAAGGCGGATGAATAATAAACTACTGAGGATCTTTAGCGCAGATATGTGTCGCATGAGAACCTGTTTGTAAGCTGTGCGGGCACAAGTAATAGCAGTGCCACCCAAGGAGAGGAAATGAGACTCCGACAGATTGTGGAGGCTTAAGATCTCATCCTGATTGATTGCTGCTGTACACGGTTAGCAAACGGGACGGGTGTGAACCCGTAGTCACACCTTGAGCTCACCGCCCTAATCTGAGAAACGATCTACTCCTGGGGCATCCTCCCGAGCCTTCGTTCTGAGCCGAAAAAAAAAACAAATTATTGCACAAACGTGAACACTCCACAAGCGCGAGGCAGCACGCGCGACTTCTCCGATTAGCACACGGTGCGAAAGAAGTTCAACATGCATACGCAACATGCATACCTCCCTCGTGTACCTCGCGCACACTTATTATTATTGTTATGATTCGCACGTGCTCGAGTTCAGGGATCATCTCTACAGAACAAGTGAACAATCTGCCGAAGTGTACAAAAAATGAGACTTCTACGGAGGTAGAGTGGTAAACAAAAGTGACTTCTGGGAGCAACGTGAGCCGTCGACCTTGCACTACGATGGACTGTCGCGGCGACTAGAGACACGGAACGCAGAATCCGCGAAGGGGCAGGGGAGGGGGTGGACGTCTCGGGAACGACTGCCACGGAGCAGTTCCGGATTAAGCTAGTGCGGGGCCTGTATAGCATATGTTATAAACAAATAAAACGCATAGATATTAAAACACACGCATTTTTTCTTGCATAGTAAAGTAATTGTATTTGTCATTTGCTACACAGACAGATAATACGACAAATCGCTAACCTTAAACACCCAGTCGTTCATAAACGCGAAGGCGGTATAGTACTATAGTAATAGAGCAAGTGCAGAATCACTGAACCGGAATTGATAGCTTGAAAGCATTTAGCGCGGGGCCCTTGTAGTAGTAGCTGCTACTACTACATATGTAGCTACTTTTGCTCCTCGGATAATCCGGCACTGCCACGGAGGAGTTCCCACTCTGCCGACGACTCAATTTGCTGGCCACACGGAAAGCCGTGACCCCCTCCACCGCCCCCACCACTACTGCCCCCCCCCCGCCCCCAAGTCGGGGTCAGAATGTGAAGGATTTATGATTGACCTCACGTGACCTGCGGGGCTTTGGCTCCGGAACTGCTCGGGACTACGGCATTACGTACCAAGCACAATGCGTGTGCGTGTGTGTGTGACGTTGGCCAGACAGGCGTCAACGAGCCCGCTGTGAATTCAGACAGAGGAGGATATTTAAGCTGCGTTAACTCAATAACAAATAATATGTACGCGAGTGATTTACGTTGCAAATGATGATGATGCGGTAAAAGGTTTCTCTCTCGTATCTCTCTAGAATATTCAACCTGGAACCATGGTTAGCGAGCACCGAAATACAATTAAATCCTTCCCCCGCACCTCCGATTAGCGCGGTTCGTTACGTATGGTGCAAAAACAAGTTCAACACACATACATTTATGCGAATCCCTGCACAAACCAAAGAACGTCTAACGCCACTGTTTGGAAATAGCAACAACAACAACAACATCGACACATGTGAGCGGTGCCCCTTTTCTTCACAAACATTGAAAACCTCCCCTGCCCGATCTGAGCAGCACTATCCCTCCGTTTCAAACGCAGGTGTATATATGAAGCACTCGGCAATATGAGTGCTTGGACGACACGAGCACACCTGCCACACTAACGCATCTGTGCCGAGAGACGGCGAGCTAATGGAACCCCCAATGTGGCGGTTGTGGGTGGGGAAGGGGGTCTCGACTTCAAACAGACCCCCATGCAAAAGGGGTCTCCCACCCTTCTCCACCACCACCATCCCCGTTCTTTTGTAAACGCGGTATCGGAGCAATTTTGCTTTTACTGCGTAGATCCCCAACGCGTCGCGCCGTGCCGGGCGGGGAGGGGAGGGGAGGGAGGGAGGCTTCTGGTCCGAGTGAGACTCACGAGCGAGTGTGAGTGTGCACACGAGCACGACGGGCAGCGGTAGTGTAGCGGTTAGCGCTACGCTGCGCGACGAACCTGGCGACTCGAGTTCGATTGCCGCTCACGGCCGACACCGGCGACGATGGTCTGAACCGGTCCTGGGCCTCCCCCCTAGGTCGATTCGGCCTTAAATGAGTACCTGGTGCGGTGTGTGGTAGACATCGCCATTGGGGAGACAAAGGCGGTTCGGGCCTGTTGCTGGAAACCCACCCCCTGATGTGCCGTGCCGGCCTTAATAGGTGCTCGCACACAGCACTTGCCCCAACAGTATGCTGAGGCTATACGGGGGATCTTTATCCTTGTATATTGAACTTTTTTCGCACTGTACGTAGCCAACCGTGCTAATCAGAGGTTCGGAGGCGAAGGACGACAAACTAAACACAAAAAACAGTTCTAGATGAATTCGTTTTAAATCTAGATCATTTAAAAGTGCATAGTTCCAGTGGCTTCTTAAATATCGGAAGGAAGAGCATTCCAGACGGCCACTGGAATCTGCCATTCATTGATACAAAACTTCAGTCCGTCGTATTTCTGTTGATTATAAGCGAATCATCATGGACGTGATTGCGCAAACTCATTTTTAAAGAGCATTTTAAATGCCAGGCTAAATGTGTATATTGTTTTCTCGTATAGTTTACTCTCAGCGTTAAAACTTCTCGTACAACGGAAGCCTTTGTGCAAGTGGTCATAGATCTGTCAACGTTAATGTTATAAAAAAAAAAATCCGCCACCTCTAACCACAACAATTATTAAAACGTCAAGAAATAGTTGCGCAAGGAGCGCGTCTGATGGCGCGCGACGCGGTGACCGCCGACTTTGTCCGACGGCCGCCGAGGCAAAGTCCGCCGTGGCTGCGGGGACGAGCGGAGTCCGCGTGACGGCGGTCTCACGCTCGTTGACGACGCCAGCGAGGTACTTTGCTTGCGGGAACCTCGGCCATTGCTTCGCGCGCGCCGCGATCGAAGAGCCCGCGGCTCTCTGGCTCTCGTTAACAAAGTGGGGGGAGGGGGGCGGTGAGCACGATAAGTGCGATAGCAGCTCCCCCACCCACTCCGGCTCCGCCACCCCCGTCGCCGCCAGCCTTAAAACCCAGCCCTCTCCCAGCACCCCGCGGCTGCATCGCATTCAGCATTGTCCACGAGCACCAGACGCGTCGTGCATTCGCTAATAAAATAACGAAACCGCAGGGCGACAACGCAACGTCACGGCGTCATCCAGTCCACGTGTAATCTAATCGAGCATGGTTTATTTTCTCCATCATCATCATCATCGATTTTTGCGTCAGTAGGTGGAAGTAAAATGGGTGTCATACATCCTCCTCCACCCGACACGGCCCATGAGTGAAGTTGCCACGTGAGCAAACGTGGACGTGTTTCGACTTCTTGGGCGCGCGGGTGTCCAGCAGAGCAAGCCCCGACGTTTAACGCTGCTTCGCTGATAGGTGTGGGTGTACGACACACATTTAACCCACGTAATCTGACCTAAAAATCAATTGTGAATCATGACATTGGTTACGAATGACATTAGAGAATGCACTGATTGTAATTGCCTCTTGTATGCATAGTACATAATGTTGTTATAAAATGCAAGGAGCTGCTTCTGATTATTCCACTCGCCCCATTTATTGAGTCAGCACTATGCACGCCTTGGTCAGCGCTATGGGCACCAGCCATGGGTTCGATCCCGACCCCGACGCCCTTAAATTTAGAGTTTGAATGTTCTCCCCGTGGTCGCGTGGATTTTTCTCATGGTCCTCCGGTTCTTCCCTCCACATTTATAAACATGTGTTTAGAGCATTCGGCTGCTATAAATATCCACAGCATAAGCCACTTTGTTGAGCTATCATTTGTAGCCAGGATACTTCTGCAATATAGCAATATAGCTCAGTGGGCCTTACTTGGTCAAATAAATAACAAAAGTAGTTTGAAAATAGTCATAGTAATAAACCAAAAAACCCACCCCTGACAAAAACAAGTCTTTGCGCAACCTTGAATATAAGCGGTGTATATTATTTCTCAAAATGCCAGCTCAACACTTCATCGGATACTCGGGCTTGCTCAAAAGCAGGGGCACGAGTGCCTGCAATTTATGGTGCTTGTGCAGGGTGAAAATGCCAGGCTGTGTAGCCTGTAGCAACTTCCAAAATACTCCAAATAAGCGACCGGAACAAATCCAGCAGATGACGTATTGCTTACTGACAGGTGTAGCGGCATATCCCCAAATGCCAAACATGGGGCTTGGCAGCGGCAGGCGCATCGTGAAATGGATTCCAGGTCCAGATTCAGTCGGATTTGCCGGATTTCCCCCAAGCAAAACACTGTCTGTAGCAGCAGCAGGAGCACAAAGCGTGCGCGTGTCTTTTGTCTTGTGTGTGCAGAGGAGCGGTAGCGTCGCAGTTAGCGCGCTTCACTACGAGTTCGATTCCCGCTTCGCAGCCGACACCAGTGACGATTATCTGAACCGGTCCCGGTCCTCCCCTAGGTCGACTCAGTCTCAAAGGAGTACCTGGTGCGGTGTGTAAACATCGCCACTGGGGATGCAAAGGCGGCCCGTGCGTGGTGCTTGCCACCCACCCACGTGTGTGTCGCGTTGGCCTTCATTTAGGTGCTCGCTAACAGCACTTTTCCCCAACAGTCCAATCAGGATATGCAGGCGGAGGGGATCTTTCTTTTTTTCAGCAGAGGAGCGGCCTCACCTTCTTGAGCACGCTGTCCAGTGTCTCCGGCCGAGCCACGTCGTAGCAGATGAGGACGACGTCCGAGTCCGGGTAGGCGAGCGGACGCACGTTGTCGTAGTAGGGGGCCCCTGTCCGTCACAGTGCCATCGTGGACAGGTCAAACGGAGGGGGCACCGCGATACGCGCGCAATGGGGGGGGGGGGGGGGGCACCACAATATGCGCACCGTCTACATTTAATTCCTAGTCGCAGTTCACATCAAAGATGGGTGATAAATGAACCGGCCCAGGATTTCTCCCTTCATCAAACCGCAATGACCAGGGTGGTGAGGTATGGTCAATCGATCCCCGTCACCTGGCGTGGCATGTGGGAGGCCTTAATGCGGGATTAACATCCAATTGCAGTATATTTCCTGCTCAGATATTTGCACGAGAGATTGTTTTTATATATATATTTTAGTTATTGTTCTGAATATATCTGAGCAGGAAATGCTCCATTGTTAGGATATCACTGGCATTCATGAATATGCTGGGTGTGTATATATAAACTTATTTCGCGCCGTACATAGCCAACCATGCTAAACGGAAGTATGGGGGAAGGACAATAAACTAAACACAAAAACCAGTTCTAAAGAAATGAGTTTTCAATCTAGATCATTTAAAATTGCATAGCTTCAGTGGCTTCCTAAATTCGGAAGAGCGTTCCAGACGGCCGCAGAAGCGCATCTGAAAGTACACAATGCTGATTTAGCAGAAATGTAGAGTTTTATTTTTTACATGATGTGGGCAGGAATCTGCCATTCATTGATACAAGACTTTCAGTCTGTTGTATTTCTGTTGAATATAAGCGAACCATAATGGAAGCAATTGTGCAAACTCATTTTCAATAGACTTTTCAATGCCAGTCTAAATGTGTTTATGTTTTGCTTGAACAGTTTTCTCTCTGCGCTAAACCCTCGTACAACGGAAGCCTTTATGCAAGTGGACATATATCTGTAAACGTTTATGTTATAATAATCTGCCACCTCTAACCACAACAAGCGTTATCAAGCGCCCCGGATAAGCATGCTTTAGATTAAAAAAAAGAAACCAGATAGCCATGGAAACAGCACTGAGTGCGTTTGGCTCGGTAGCGCTGCTGTGGCCGCCAAGTAAAACCCTGGCAAGTGTTTGTTGTTTTTTTCGTTTTGCTGTTTACAAAGTGTAGCCTTGCAGGAAGCCTCTTGGAGCTCAAGCCACTGAATTATCCCACTCTGTGCAGGTGGTTCGCTGTGGATTCGGCCGGCTAGTGACTTGTAACGCATTTTTGGTGGAGGGTGGGAGGAAGGGATTTTTTTTTTAAAGCAAGCAAACACAATCAATGACAAAGCTACGCTGTTAAAAATGCTTTCACCCTAGCCGCGAGCAGGTTGATCTCAGGATGTGTGGACTTTGGTGGCGTGTGACCTGCTGCCAGACTGAGTGGAGATTATAAGCATCTGCCGGGGTGGTCTGCTTGCCTTTACGGAAATGTGGGGGGGGGGGAGGGGGAATTGCGGCATGATTGGTAATGGGGGTAGGAGAATCTGGCCCTACCCTGCCGAGAGCCTGCCCTGCTGTGTTTCCACATCCTATACCATCTGGCCAAAGCAGTTTGTCACACGGGCAAAACGTTCATCAGGCCCTGGCTGCCAGATGAAAGGGCGCTGGACGAGTGTAAACACGGGTCAAACGCAAACCAGGCGACGTAAACACGTTCCCTTTGCCTCTGTCAAACACAAAGATTTCCCCCAGTGCTTCGTTTCCGCTGAACACAATCTTCCCGAGCGCGGCACATATTCTGCGTGCAAGCGACCATAATTCGTTGTGAACCAGGATGAACGCGTGCAGCGCGTTGCCCGCAAAGCTGCATGACAAGGCCGTAATTATAATATATATTGGGGGGGGGGGACACACCCCCCCCAAATATTCAAATATGCTCAAAATGCCCCCCCCCCCCATATATTGCAATATGTGTTTTTAAAAAAAATTGCTATGCTATGTAAATAAAAACAACAATTTGTTAAACCTTGGCCACAATATCTGGACTTGTGTTCATACAAATCAATGCATAGATTTCTGTTTATATGATTGTGGTTAGGGTTGTACTTTATTAATCCAGAATCTCTGCCTTTACATACAGTGAAACAAAAAATGTTACAAAAGTAAAAACAGAGCAATGTAAATACAATACACTATTAGACATTATTGTCAAAAATAAATAAAAAGTCCATCCCATGTGTTAGTGAATTTTTAAATATTTTTAGGCAGGAAATTCGTTTTCAAATTTAGATATTTTTCTGGGTTGGGACCCCCAGACACCCCGGAAGATTTGGTCCCCCCCAATGTTGACCACATGGCTACGGCCTTGCTGCATAACATCGCCATGCTGATCGGTGCCTGGAGACTACGAGTTGGGCAAGGGAGACTGGGTCAGCGCAGAGTACACGAGGGAGGTTCGGTGTCGCCTCACTGCAGAGCTGGGCTAAAGCGCCACGGGGAAATGTTGCAGTTCGTGTGAAACAATAAGCCCCAGGCTGCAAATTTATAACCCCAAAAACACATCAAAGGTCTTCAATAGAGAGCCGGTTAAACTGCAGTCCTAAATGAAATCCGAGTGCTGCTGAATAAAACACCCAGCCTGGATAATTTTTATTGTATCATTAATCTTCCTAATCGTGCCGAAATAAAGCATTCCTTTGATGTGGATGGGCACCGCGTCCTGGAAAAACCTGGTCCAGCAAAGTAACATCCCACTGTTTTGATGTTTCACACACAAAATCGACCGAACCCTTTAAAACTCACAATGCTCCCTTACCGGGGTTATTTGTTTTATATTGCGTAACCATGTGCAATTCCTGACCGCAGGAAACTGAGGATGCTTTACAAAGAACACACATTTCGATTTAAAGATTTCGTGACTGCAGGGATTCATCTTCTTGGTTCTTTCGGTAAAGTCACAACGTAGAATGGAAATAAAATAATAAAAACAAAACATAATAAAATAAAATTATTATTTTATTTCCATTCTACGTGACTTTACCGAAAGAACCAAGAAGAAAGAACACACACGCGAGTATTTGTGCTTATATCGCACCAGGGCAATCCTTTATCCAGCATATGCATACATAACACAAATCTGAGGTCTGTGTACTTAAGTAGCTTCAGTGCAATCCTTCACCCGCAATATCCATGCATAATAACTTCACAGGCGCCGTTTCCTGCTATCCTTGGGCTGCAATTCACCCTGGCGTTGGGCTGAAAGCCACCTAGAAGAGGCAATGATTAACTTTTTGCCTCCTCTAAGCCATCAATTTGCGCAGAATTTATGATGACCCTGTCTACGGAGGCAGCGATTTCTCTGCAGTTGTCAGTAATGTCCCAGAGTAATTGAGACGGCCGAGGGATGTGAGATGGGAGTAATGTTGTTAAAGCGCAGCGTTCAACCCGCGGGCGATTTCCGCTAATCTGGAATTTAAATGTTATGCTGGTAATTTGCAAGTCAATGCTTGCGGGGATGGTGGCGGCAACACAACCACAACATGTGGCAGCAGGAGACACAAAAAATAAAGTTGCAGACTTTTATGTTCATGAACTCGTAATTGCTTCGTCTATTTTCAAAGGTAGGTGTTTTTTTGCGTTGAGGTAATTTAATTTTTGATGTACTAATTATCAATGCAAATGTGTAATTACTATGGCAGCAATAATTATGAAACTTGATGAATTCTGCAGCAGAGACCAATGCATGGAGCTGCATAAACAGCCTCTGAGACACAGGGGGTTTGTTTATAGTTGATGTAAATATATAAATAACCACGGGTTTTTTTTTCACCCCCCCACCCACGTCACAAAGCATCAGGTAACCCTTAAAACACTTGTCTAAATCCACCACATGCCTGCGCTGACTTGTTTGAACACGGGTTCGAAACCGGAGCCTCCGAAAATATAAACAACTCCTTCCGGCGTGCATTGCGATGCGAGGCCAAATCTCCCAGCCGTGCGTCCACACCAACGCCCCCCCCCCCTCCTCAATGATTTCCCTTATTGGCCAAAGAGACACTCGGGAAAGGACACATCTTTATTGTTTAAGGTCCAAGCAAAAAAGAACATTGTCTACATTTTCCCTGCGACAAAGAACCCTCCCCCCTCCCGCACAGCCTCAACAGACCGTTGGGGCAAGGGCTGTTAGCGAGCACCTATTAAGGCCGGCACTGTGGCACACGAGGGGGTGGGGTGGCCAGCATCACGCCCAGCCGTCTTTGTCTCCCCAGTGGCGATGGGTTTTTTTTTTTACGCACCGCACCAGGTACTCATTTGAAGCCGAGTCGACCTAGGGGAGGCCCAGGACCGGTTTAGATAATCGTCACTCATGTTGGCCGTGAGCGGGAATCAAACTCGGGGTCGCCGGGTTCGTAGCGCAGCGCGCTAACCGCTACACCACCGCTCCCCCTTTTCCCTGGGAACACACAAACGCGCACGTGTGCGCGCACACACAACAACGATCTGCGCAGGGAGAGAGAGGGGGGGTAAAGGCGGTGTGAATGATCGTGTGCCCGCATAAGTGCTCATGACGCAACTACGCTGTGCTGCTCTGAGGCTGCGCCACGTCGCCGAGTGCTCACAGCAGCGCGGACGGCTCTGGCTTTGCCCATCTTCGGCCACACGCCGCCACTCTATTCCACGTTGTCTATTTTCTTGGGTTTTTTTTTTAGTTTGCACCGCTTCTTAGGTTGCTTCCCAACTGGCGAAACACGGAGTCCCCAACTCCCATCGTGGGCAGGATTTTCACGGGAGATTTTATTAAATATTGTTATTGTCGACTGAAAGCTTTCGTGACTGCAGGCATTCTTATTCTTTGGGTCTTTGAACCCAAAGAATATTGTTGTTATTATTATTATCTTATTTTAATTAAAATAATTGCCTATTTGTAGATCAGAAGCGTGATGATGAGATAAGATAGTGAGAAGGATGGCAGTCCGTGAGTATGGTGATGACGATCGATGATGGGATTGACAATGGGTGGTTAACGAGATGGAGTGAGTGATTGGGTGTGTCATGGATTAGTTGGGAAGTTGGGAAAAGTGAATGATGACGGAGTCAATGATGGGGAAA